TTGGGGGGGGGGGGGGGGAGGGTATTTTGGGAATAGAGAAAAATGAGGGGACCAAGAGGTTGCGTGGGGAATGGTTAGGATTCTCTCTTTTGGAATGGGTACGCTAGCTTTGTGTGTGGGAATTGGGATATGATGAGTTCAACATCTTTGCCTTCTTTTTCCATATACTTTAATTTGGAAGGCTATGCTTTTCTTTCTATATTGTCTACCCTCCTCACTTTCATCCAAAATTTACTTTGTTTGGAGTTTATGCTCTATGCTTTTTAAGGACCACCAAGTGACAAAACTTGGAGTTTTGTTTTGACGGGATAGAGTTATCTAGTGCTTATTTTATTAAAAAAGTTACATGAGAAATAGTTAACGTCGTATTAATTGATCTGAACATCACTATTAGCTAAAAATAATAATAATTTGATCATATTTGGTATCATGGGTTTGGAGTCAATGTTTCTTATAGGATTTTGATATTAGTTAGGTATCGTTATACCAATAATCAATCGGATTCATTTTTTTTGTCGGTATATAAATTATACACTTGTTATACATATATTATACATGTTATCCATTGTCTATTTTTAATTTAAGTGATTGGGGTGCTATTTAGAAATTCTTTCTTTTTCCTTCTTCCTTTTTCATTCTTGATTTTATTATTATTATTATTATTATTATTATTATTATTATTATTATTATTATTATTATTATTATTATTATTATTATTATTATTATTATTATTATTATTATTATTATTATTATTATTATTATTATTATTATTATTATTATTATTATTATTATTATTATTATTATTATTATTATTATTATTATTATTATTATTATTATTATTATTATTATTATTATTATTATTATTATTATTATTATTATTATTATTATTATTATTATTATTATTATTATTATTATTATTATTATTATTATTATTATTATTATTATTATTATTATTATTATTATTATTATTATTATTATTATTATTATTATTATTATTATTATTATTATTATTATTATTATTATTATTATTATTATTATTATTATTATTATTATTATTATTATTATTATTATTATTATTATTATTATTATTATTATTATTATTATTATTATTATTATTATTATTATTATTATTATTATTATTATTATTATTATTATTATTATTATTATTATTATTATTATTATTATTATTATTATTATTATTATTATTATTATTATTATTATTATTATTATTATTATTATTATTATTATTATTATTATTATTATTATTATTATTATTATTATTATTATTATTATTATTATTATTATTATTATTATTATTATTATTATTATTATTATTATTATTATTATTATTATTATTATTATTATTATTATTATTATTATTATTATTATTATTATTATTATTATTATTATTATTATTATTATTATATATGAGTGTAATGCATGATGTCCATTTCTTAATGTGAATGCAAGGTATTTTTGTCTTCATAATATTTGTTGTATCCCTATTCCCTGCTATCTTATTATTCTTTTGTAAAAAGCTTTAACATTTTGATGCAATACCAATTCATCAATCTACAACTTGATATATGATTCTAGATAAAGTTCCAAGATTCCCTTGGTCAGGATGATCACACTACGACAAAAGAGACGTTTAACGACAATAAATTTCCTTTTAGCAATAATATATGTTATCGTAACTGAGTTAGTATTATTATATTCAGAGTCGCTAAAAGTATTGATTGTAAATATGCATATTTATTGTTGTCGCTAAATATATATAACAACAATTATATTTTTATCAATAAATAACCGTCCCAAATAGTGGCATTTTTGTTTGTATTTTCTAGAACATATATGATTCCTTTTTAGTGTTCCAACTTTCAACATATGAATAAATAAAAATTAAGCTAAGATTTGGTGGTGAGGAATAAGTTGAATAATGGTCTTATTTTGCGTGTTACCTCAGTGGACATACTTTCCACACAAGCTCATCCATTTTCATGATAATTCTAAGTAAAAGAAAAGTATGTATAGCCTTGCCACAATTAGTTTTGTCTCCTTTTACCAATGACTTTAGTAACTTCTAGATAAGCGGATTGGATATGAAAATTTTGGTTTAATAGTTTTATGATTTCAAATTAGAAGTTATAAAGTATTCACGATAAATTAATTATCTCAATATATAAACCCCCCATTTACATTACAATCATTCAAACAAAATATTTATGCAAGCAATGAATGTGTATTTGGTACGTAGGAAAATGTTTTAATCCGAATTGCTATTATATATGCCTTTCTTCAAGTTGTCATCAATTCTGTAATTAAGAATCTTAAGAAAGGGTTAGTTTGATTCTTCAGAGGGTAATTAGGAGAAATCAAAAGTTAATGGGAGATTATCACTTTGATTAAAGGTAAAAGAATTCAAAAGATATGTGTCATTGACAACATGCTAACGTATCGGATTCTATCTCAATCAAACCTCCTTTTCAACTTTGAATTGTACAACAACCCTCTTTACAAATCCTCATTGTGTGTGTATTGTCCCCATTTTTTTTATTTATTTTTTAATAATCTTTTCCCTTCTGTCTTTCGGTATTATACTCCTTCCATTTTAAATTATCATTTTAAATTTTATTTTTTAAGTGAAACATTTAAAACCATATCTTTAAATTAAGATCAAATGATTCAAAAATCTTCTTTACTTTCTTAACTCCGTCAGTTAAAATCAGAAAAACAAATTCAGATGAAAGGGAGTAAGGTTTATGAAAGCAAGTCCTTTTGCTGAAGACCTTAAGGGTAATACTAAGCTTGAATTTAATATTCTAATGGATAGTTTGACAGAACTTATGACAGATCATCAAAGAGTTGAAGTTCATTTCTTATAATGAATGAGCTTAACCAAATCACCAAGATTTCACAAATTATGTCCTAATTTTGGAATAAATGTTCATAATTCTCGGCGGATCACCAGGACTTGCATAAAAAAATCACTAGCTAATTTTTGCTTAAAAACTATTCCAAATTGATATTCAATTTCCCATCTAAGGAAAAATTATGGAACTGCTTAAAATTAGCAATATATTTATGGAAAATAGGTATAGTTTAAAAACATTATAAAAAAGAGCAATATGTTATTTTTATAGCAAACTATTTCCTCTCTCTTGACTCTCCTCCCTTTCTCTCTCTCGTTGCCAATAAGAAGAAATCCATTCAAATATATTATGTACCAATTGTATTCAATCAAATATAGGTGAGAATTCTATATTTTATTTCAATTGTGTTTGAAAAATTGTTTTTTTTTTTTGTATTTTTGTATCAGTTGTATTTTGTGTTTGTACAAATATAATATGCATTCATCCTCTTTGTCAAATGTATTGTATCCAATCAAATAAGAGTTAATTCGGTTGTATTTGAATATAATTCATACAAAATAAATAAATAAATAAATAAAGAATACAATGTAAAATAAATATAAAATACAATTCGTTGTATTTCGAATACAACTGATACAAAATAAGTATAGAATACAATACAAAGTAAATACAAAATACAATTTGTTGTATTTCGAATACAATTGATACAAAATAAATACTGAATACAATGCAAAATAAATACAAAATACAATCCTCTCTCAATCTTGCTCGCCTCTCTCCTCCCTCTCTTGATCTTGCTCGCCTCTCTCCTCTTTCTCTCGATCTCGCTCGCCTCTCTCCTCTTAATATGTATTCATTTTAATACAAATCAATTTGTATTTGTGTTTTTCCTCCAAAATTCGTGAAAAAATACACTCTCTCCTCTCTCTATTAGATCTCACTCGCCTTTCTCCTCCCTCCCAAAATATTTTGCTATTATTTGTAATTAAGTAAACTATAGCTATGGAATGCCTAATGTGTTGCTATTTTTGAAAGTTTTCTTTTCTAATACTCCCTCTATCCTAGTTTATATGACTTATTTTCCTTTTTAGTCAGTCCAAAAAGAATGACACATTTCTATATTATGTAACAATTTAATTTTAAAACGCTCATTTTTCCCCTAATGAGCTATTTTATAGCCACACAAATATCTATTACTTATTTTAGATCATAAATTTTAAAAGTTTTCCATTCTTTTTTTAAACTCCGTGCCAAGTCAAAGTAACTCATATTAAATGGGACGGAGGGAGTACCAGTTACAAACAATTTCGAATGATCAGGTTCAATCCTTTAGGCCTTGTTGTACGTACTCACAAGCCCAAATTCCCTCTAGCTGGAATGGAATATTTGGGCCCAAATCTGGCCCATATTATTTTCCTCGGCCGGTCCATTAAGCAAACTTACGCCTCCCCAATCTCTTCCCAAATGCGGCAGTTTCCGGCGTCTTTCCCATCGGTGCCGCCGGCGAAAAAACAAGTTACAGGTTCCCGTCTTCATTTCTCTTGCTCTATCATTCCATATCTTTCAATTTTCTCGAAATTCAAAATACAGCATATATAGAATTCATTTTCTTATGAGAAAAATATGTTTCTTCCATCAATTTCTCGCCTATTCGCCGATGCTAAATCACTCAATAAACCAATTTTTTCACTCAAATTGGTACATTTACTCAGCACTTCTTCATCATCAGCTGGAGAATTCTTAAGTCATTTGCTGAATAATAAAAATGTGTCGGGTATGGAGAGAACATTGAGCTCAGTTAGGTCTAAGCTAGATGCTCGATGTGTTGATGAAGTATTAGAGAAATGCGCTGTTGATGATCCCCAAATGTGTCTGAGATTCTTCATTTGGGCTGGTCTTCAATCCAGCTATAGACATAGTAGTTACATGTACAGTAGAGCTTATAAACTGCTTGGAGTGGATAGTAAACCGCAAATTATTCGAGATGCCATTGAGGCTTATAGGCTGCAGAAATATGTCACAAGTGCTAAGATGTTTAAAGTTGTGTTGAATTTATGTAGAGAGGGAAAAGATGCTACCTTGGGATTGTGGGTGTTGAGGAAAATGAAAGAGTCTAATTGTCGCCCGGATACGATTATGTATAATGTAGTTATTCGATTATTATGTGAGAAGGGAGATATGGATGAGGCAATGGGTTTGATGAGAGAAATGGACCTGATTGATGTTCATCCTGATATGATCACCTATGTCGTGATGATTAAGGGGTTGTCTGAGGTGGGTAGGTTGGAAGAAGCTTGTGGATTAACAAAAGCTATGAGGGGACATGGATGTATACCAAATACGGTTACCTATTCAGCTCTTCTTGATGGGATTTGTAGGTTTGGGAGTTTGGAAAGGGCACTTGAGTTATTGAGAGAAATGGAAAAAGACGGTGGGCAGTGTGAGCCTAATGTCGTTACATATACTACTGTGGTTCAAAATTTTGTTGAGAAATGTCAGGCGATTGAGGCACTAAGTATTTTGGACCAAATGAGGGATTTTGGGTGTAAACCAAATAGGGTGCTTATCTCTACTTTGATTCATGGTCTTTGCAAAGAGGGGCATGTGGAGGAGGCTCATAAGGTCATTGACAGAGTAGCTAAAAGTGGTATTTCATATGATTCTTGCTATAGCTCTTTAGTTTTATCGTTATTTCGGATTGGAAAAGTCGAGGAGGCAGAAATGTTTTTTAGGAGAATGTTGACTGGTGGCCTAAAGCCTGATAGCTTCACCTCAAGCACAATAATACGATGGCTTTGTCAGCAAAATCGGATACTTGATGGATATCACTTGATTGAGCAGTCTGCAAGTGTATCTTCTATAGATTCTGATATTTATTCTATTCTTATGGCTGGACTATGCGAGGCAAATCATCTTGCGGAAGCTGCTAAGCTTGCTCATCTGATGGTAGAGAAAAGAATTCAGCTCAAAGGTCCTTGTGTTAAGAATGTAACTGAATGTCTTAGACATTGTGGGAAAGAGGATTTAGCTTCAAGCATTGGTAATGTTAAGAGCTGATGAATGTTGAGATTGCATTAATATGTTGATCCTACTTGTGCACCATACAGTCCCCTCGTCAGTTATATGGAATATTCCACATAATTGAATTCTTTCTTCAGTTTTGTGCAATCAAATACATGTTGGTGCTATGCGCACAAAACTTCAGTTAGTTGTTGAGGCTATGCATGAGCAGGTTTAGTGCTTGTTCTTCTGTTATGAATATTCCCCTATATTAGTCCCCACGCTGTTCAATTTCTTCCTTTGGTGCTTTCTTTCGTGCCGCATACACAGAGTTAAACTTTTCCCAACTATTCATTTTACTGGCACTTTGCACTCTGTGCTTCGGAAGTGGAACACTCTAATAAGTTGACGAAAAACCAATGATCTTTCACCAGAATCACTCTGTGTTGCTGCAGGGGAATGAATGTCAAGAGGAAGAGTTCTTGAATCTGATAAAAGGAGGAAAAGAGGGAAATGGGATTTCAATAATTAAGAGAAAAATATCTCTCTGTGTACACTTTATTCGTTTAGCTCATGTTACTGCTTGAACAGTCAGTAGTTGACTCTAATGTAATATGAGTTCTGGGTAAGTATCGTCTCTCACTTACAAAATTTGATGACATTCAAGCATGAATGTTCTCATTTGCAATAATCAGATGTGCTACTGGCTATTACCCATAGTTTTCCTCATTATGTTTGTGTATGATTTCACTGTTCTTACCTGATAATAGTGTGAACAGAATTTGCTGCTTCGTTTTTCAGATATAATTCTATTACCTGTCACTTGTTGATCTTTTTGAGATTTCCTGCTCCAAGTATTGTTTGCATCTCTGCATCTATTGATAAAACAAGAACTTTAGTCTAGGCTTCAGGATCTGAACTATGGATATTGGATGTTTTCTCATTTCAAATAGAAATTTATTCTTCTATTTGTTGACATTAGTTCTTTGAAACTCTCTGAACTCTCTCTTTGATGCCAATATGTAGCAGGAAAACCATCGGATAAAGGCTTCTTCAGCAGCAGTTTTGCACAATAAACCAACTAATGGTTTAGTACATTGCTTCATCTGTATCCTAACTCGAATGCCTCTCATGTATGTTATCGATTTTCGGAACTTGTGTTTTGTCATGCTTTGAGATTGTCGATTGTGAAGACCACTCTATTTATACTGTAAAATGAACCTCCTAACTACCAGTAGTAAGTGGGCGTAGATTGATAGACAAAGATAGTTTGTTTGGAGGAAGAAACTAAGGACCAAACATTTATCTTGCAACTGTAATTTCTGTATGAATGCAAAACTGTTTTTTCAAATTGTTATGGCAAATATATTAGTAACAAGGATGGCTGAGTTGGTGCAGTTCATATCTCATGGGAAGCCAGAGATTGATTTTTCGGCCTATGCCTTTTCAATCGAGCTCATTGCAATGCGCTTGTTGTAAAGGTAAAATGGATCAAAAAAACGTCGAGCGAACCTCATCCATGACCGGACCAAGGAGTGAAGCCCAACTCATAAGAGTCCCAATATCCTTAGATTCTCAACGTCCGGTATGCGATCAAAGAGTTAGTGGAAGACTAGAAGAGATTCGAACCTTATAAAATGAGTTACCCAAGTTTATTCTCTATATTACCCTATTAGGCAATCAATGTTTGGGCCCACTAGTTTTTCGATAAAAGCACTTGTTTATGCAACATTTCATTACTAAGATCAATCTAACTCACATGTCCATAAACTACTTAACAAATTAAGTTATATTGTTTTTTGAATAAACATTTACCATTTACATCTGTTATGTGATTTTCAAATTATTGCACGATTTCTTCGGTGCAAATATGTGTGCACACCTAAAAAGATAACAACCGAGGATTCCCAAAAATAAAAACAATTATCTGAAACAAATACTACTAATTATAAACACTTAGCATAAGATATGGGGCAACAACGAGGTCATCCAATCAAATAAAAGGGCCTTAAATGTGATTCGTAAATTGTAGTTTGGGTTTTGCACGTCACCGTCTCTTACAAAATTTACTTTAATTAATTTTATATTTATTAAAATGTTTGAAATTTCGTGGCACACATATACAGAGGGGACAATCTGAATTCTCAAGTAGAGTATTGTCTAGGGTTCGTCAATTCCAAGCTATCTTCACTCTTTTACCGATTCCGATTCAATTGCTTTTGCAAATCGAGGGTCTCAACTATCTCCGTCAGATCTTGGCCGTCCGATTGATACCTTTTTCTCTGAATATGGTCGAAATTTGCAAGCCTTATATTGATTTCAATCAAAGTTCGAACCTTTGTTGTAATTTCAGCGACTCAGATCCGTTTCACAGATAATTTGCCTAATTTTGAGAGAAGGGTCCGGTTTGTTTGTATGTTGATTTTGAAGAGAGTCGTCTCTTAGTTTGAAATTTTAGGTGGAAGTTTGTGGAATTTGCACTTTGTTTATCAGTGCGTTGTGTAAATTTTCTTTAGTTTGTGTGTTCTGCATCTTGTTTTTCCCTCTTTATTTGATCAGTGGGTTGTATATAATATTTTTTTTGTCTTCCAAGTATTATTATGTATATAGAGGAAGAGAAGGGAGAAGAGTTGGAGACTGGGAAGGAGGAGATGGTGGTGGGTGGAGTGATAGAGAAGGCAGAGAAATTATCTGTTTCTGGTAAGGTGTTGTGTTCTAGTGGTAGTAGTGGCAATAATGCTATTGTTGTGTTGGATGTAAGGAGGGTCATGGTTGGAGTTGGGGCTCGAGCCTTGTTTTACCCGACACTTCTCTACAATGTTGTTAGGAACAAGATTCAGGTAGAGTTTCGATGGTGGGACTGGATTGATGAGGTATAACAACCTTTTTCAGTATTGTTTTTGACACTTTTTTGTTGTCCTGGATATACTGTATACACTTGTAATGAATGCCTTGTTGTTATTGTTGTTTCCCCTTTAATGTATACACGTGTAGTGAATTCTGTTGTCTTTATATGGATCTATGTCAATGTGCAAATGAATTCAGTATGCTTCAATAGTTGTTTTGATAAGTTGGAATGTTTTTGCTTATAATGTGCAATCCCTATTGCGTATCCAAATGTTAACTCATGTAATGTATTGTTAAAGTGTGAACTAGTTATATTAGAAATTCATTCTAATTAATTGTCATTCGAGGCAGGATAGGTCTTTCTGAAAGGCTTTGGAAATGTCAGTTTCATTAAAGTTGATTACTTTGATTGCTGATGTTGAAATGTTATAACATCTTGCTGAACTTCTAAATCATGAATAAGGAATAATAGTACTATATGTATGGTTATTCAGAAAGATGGGTGGAACTGAATTTTGTAGAAATATCAATCTTAATTTCTATCTGGGCATGCTTTTCTATAATAAAGAAGGAATATAATAAGATCAATACCGTACTCTGTATCAAATGCATTAGCAAGATGATTAAACTTGTCTGTCCTAGGAATGACAAGACAATGACACATGGGAACTAATACTTTTTCTGTGGTAATCTGCTTAAAGAAATTTGCCTCTAATCACTAATCTGTGACAAGTGGCAAAGGATGCATAGTTATCCAGGAAGATGGACAAATAGTAAACTTGTTCAGCTCTTCTTTTCTTTTCACTGCTATAAAGTTAGTTACTCTCACTAGTATCATCCCAGATTAACTCTTACATTTCCTGCAATTTTTTTTGAATGTCGTACAATCTTTCTCCGCCAGTTACTTACTTGTTGGGATATTAAGGAATGTGCTCTTACATCTTCAACTTACATGATATAAGCTGAAATGCATTTCTTGTAATTCCATGTGCATCTATCTTCACATTGGAGATTAAGTTTACTTGTATGCATTGACCATCTTGGAAGATCGCATAGGTTGATTGATGTTCATTCTTTCAAATTCTTTTTTAGTGAATAGTTAGTTAGTAGTTTGTACTCTAATATTTTACGGTATAACAAGATTGTAGTACTGACTTAATATCCTGTTTAGTTTGTGTTATTAGGTGCTGTCCCTTTCCAATCTGATGTGAAAAGGCTAAAGGAGCTTGGTGTCTCCGGTGTTGTCACCCTAAATGAGCCATATGAGACTTTAGTTCCGACATCTTTATATGAGGTTAGTTCTTGAACTTCTGATATTTGTTTTATTCTTTCTGTTATGCTTCACTTAAAAGATAAGTCAGTTCAAGTTTAACCTTCAGGACCCTTCTCCTTATTTCTTCTGTACCCCTTTGCTCGATCTTTCTGTTATGCTTCACTTAAAATATAACTTGGTCATTCCTCATCTAAATAGAAAGAAATGAAAAGTCAGGCTTCATTCAAGCATCTCCTTCCTCTTATTTCTTTTGTATCCCTGTGAAATTGGAATACGCAAATTAAGTATGCTTGAGTAGCATTGCACTAGCTGAGGAGGCTGTACATGCGCCAAACATATTTTGATGAAACGGTCCAACTGTCCATAGTGACCCTTTTTCAGGACCTTATTTACTGTTTGTGTTCTGATCTTCTTCATGGTATTACCATTGGTATTAATTATATAAATATGGGATACAGTAGTTGTTTCCTTCCTACCTTACCCCAGTACCGAAGTCTTTTACTTCTTAATTCCCACGTTTTACTTTTCACTAATATCTAATTGTCTAGTTCAAATACTTTTAAATTATGGATTTGTTATTTAAATTTCCTTCTCATTACACGATCAAGTTTTCTTTTTCTTCACATTATTGTTATCTACTACTTCTTGCAGGCTCATGGTATTCGTCATTTGGTTCTCCCAACAAGAGATTACTTATTTGCCCCATCTCTGAATAATATATGTCAAGCAGTAGAGTTCATCCATGGTGCGTACCTTCCCAGCCCTTTGGCTCCCTTTTTTAATTAGTTTGTTGATTTTTACAGTATTGTCAACATTCTTGACCTTAATTCCTGGATGCTTTTGGTATTTTGTCACGACATCACAGTCACTTACCATCTTGAGATTCATCTAATTTTTTCAACTCTGGAACTATGAGCAGTTTCCGTCAGATAAAAAATGACAGTCTGAGGGTTGAAGTGTCCAATTCTTGGGTTGACAGGGATTCTTCGATAATCAAATTTTATGTTTGAGACTAAGACAAAAAGTACCTTAAACTACATGTTAAATATTTTACAAATTCAAATGTCATTGTTAAGTAAAAGTCAACAATACCGGTCCAATCAAATATTTATTTGACTCACTAAATTGTGATTATGACACTTAAAATGGGATTGGGGGAGTACATGTGTTAAGTTGCTGGTCTTCTATTTGGATATAGTACTTTTTGAGGTGTCTGTCCCTTTGTTTGGTGGCTTGTTTTCTGTTTTGTTGCTTTCTATGGAAACAAATATGGGTGAGTACAAAATTCCATTAAATTAGCCCTGGTTTAGTAAATTTCTATGTTTTTCCTCTTGTATTCTCTCCTCTTCCTTCCTACCTAATCAAGATTGAACCTCTACACCTTTCCCCCCCGGGCAGAAACTATAGAAATATCCAAAAGATTGCTTAAAGTACCGCCAGAGGAGAGTTTACTAGTAGGTTAAGCTTTTAAATAAAATTTTCTTGTTTGTCTTTGAAGAAAATGCTTCCAATGGACAAAGTACATATGTGCACTGCAAGGCTGGTCGAGGACGTAGCACGACCATTGTCTTATGCTACTTGGTGGGTAAACTACTTGTTTGAATGGATTGTTTAAAGATCACTTTACCCATTTTCTTTCTGAAGTTTCTTTCGTTTTGTAGGTTAAGTACAAGCAGATGACACCAAATGATGCATATAACTATGTGAAGTCAATTCGTCCAAGGGTGCTTTTGGCCTCTACCCAGCGACAGGTGTCTCAAGATTTACCTCATATTTTGATCCTTTTTCTCTAAGATGCATGATTTTTCTCCTTTAAATGAGATTGATGGTAGATACTCCAGTTGACTTGGTTTTTGTTTTTCTTGGCTATTGTTGCTGATTCTGTTTTCCCACTTGTTATCAGGCTGTCCAGGATTTTTACCATCTCATGGTGAAAAAGTCATACAGTTCTACCCCCTTGACTAGTATGATCCCACGGAGCTCAATCTTCTCCAGACGGAATTTGCTAGCCTTCGATGATGGTGCTGTAGTTGTGATAACCGAAACAGATCTAGATGGATATAATTCAAGCCTTGACTCTAGGGTGGCTGGATCTGAGCTTTGGGCAGATTTGAATTTGATTTACAGGGTTCGAGTTGCTGGTGGGGCAGCCTTAGCAAGACTCTCCTGTATGTGGTTACGTTGCCACACCGACCAGAAGATTCCGAATCAGAAGGTGACTGCAGAGAGCAAGCAGCTGGAAAGTTTTACTGTAGATATACATGTGTTTTCTTAAGTTAATAAGTTGTACATATTTCTTCTGTATATATAAAATATTAAGATGCTACAAGCTAAGGTGTCTACTATTTCAGCTTACTCTACCATAAAACCTCGACGTTCTCTATGTAAATACGATATACTTCTCAAGTTGCAAATGAGAAGTTTGAGTATATGTATATATATATAGCTCTTTATGCGAAATTTCTTAACAATCTGTCTGTTAATTCACTCAGCTAGAACCTATTTTTTCTGTTTTATTTCCAGCAAACACCAAGTAACCATTTGCATTGAATCTTGATATATATAGTTGGTGCTTTAACATCACTCTTTTTTTCAGGATAGGATTTATCATATTTGATTGAGACAGACTTAAATAGAGCAACATGGACAATGAAGTTTTCTATGATTAATTTAACTTGTTTGGCAGTGAGGCACAGTTATCCCAAAATGTGAAATGACTCAATAAATCAATTATTGCTTCAAGAGACCCAAAATTACCCAAATTAAGAGTACTTAAAGATACTTTAATAGTAGTAGTTTTTTTTATTCTCCATGGACCACTACAAGATTTTTCTTCAAAAAAATCAATGTCCCACTTGAGCATCAGCTTTATGCTTTTGTGCTCCATCAATCAAATATGGGACAACATTTTGTTGCATTTCTTGAATATCCATTACTAAGTGATATCCTGGTAACTTTATGAACTTCACTTTTCCAGCTTTATCCAATGTTTGTAATCCAAACGTATCCTCTAGATAAAGATTAGTCTGCCAAAAAAATGAAAATATAATAAAAAAATTATCTCCTTTACAACAACAACAAAAGCGTAGGATGGCATGTACATAGTCTTATATCCTATCTTGTATGAGTAGATATGTTATTTCCGATAGACCCTCAACTGGAATTTAAAATTAAAGAGGGTAATGATGTTACCTGTTGTGGTGGCAAAATTTGAGAGTCGGTTCCATCTTGATAAAAGCCAAACCAAGAACTTTCTTTTGGAGTTATAACATCATCATTTTCAAACTGTAAAGATATTAAAAATAAAATGGGATTAATTATTTAGTAAGTAAATTGTTAAATTAATTTTATTTTATTTTTAAAAAAAGAGTAAAATGTACCATGATAAGAACAAGGTTCTGCAAGCTAGTGAAACGTTCCTTATAAATTGGATTAGTTGCATTAGGAATTTCATTATTAAGCTTAGGCAAATATCTACAACCTCTTAAATATCCAGCAATATCCTGAGAGAAAAATAAAGAAAGAAAATGTTCTTAATTTTTTTTTAAATTTAAATAATAATAAAAAAGAATAAAACCAAAGAAACAAGAATTACTCACATTTGGAAGCTTGATATAGCCACTAGGAGCATAATGAGTCTAAGATTTGCATATTAATTAAAAAATTGATAGAGTTAGAAAATAATCACTTGAAAAAACATTATAATAAAATAAAAAAAATAAAGAGTAACATTTGAAGATAGTATACTTGAACATAGTCAGAATATATTCCAATTCCAGAAATACCACCAGCTCCATCACACCAAGGGTTACCCTGTCAATTAATAACAAAAAATATTTTTGCTAGTTAGTATTTTTAAGTTATAGCAGTTATCATTCTTTGCAAAAGGAATTTGGTACCGACTATGTATTCATATCGGAAAATCATATTCAAGATTCTAATTCGAGATCTCTGATTATGATTAATATTAATGTTGTAACAAAATTACATACAGTGCAAGCAGGACCAGAAGCAATGCCAGCATTAGGTCCACCAATTGAGATAAAGTTATTGACCTGTGGCACAATTTTAGTTCCAAAAAATAATAATCACAAAATGGAAAAAAATGTTGAAATAAATAATGAAAATAATAAGGTAATATATTGTTAAAATTCTCACTGGAGGTGCTTCATCACAGAACTCTATAAGTCCTCTGGCTACCATATTTCCCTGAAAAAAAAAACATGAATATATAAATAAAATATAGATTGACACATCTTTATTTATTTATTTTAAAGCGAAGAAGTGATTGAAAATCATGAAATCTCAGGTTTAAATTTCAGTGCAGACATAAACACTAGGTGATTCTTCCTATTTGTCTGAGCCTTGGTGGACAAAGTTACCTGACATCTCTGTTGATGCTAATGGGAAGTGTTGGCAATGGTGTAACCAGAAATTGTACAGGAGTAAATTTTTTCTTTTGGATGAATGAGTGCACCAGAAATTTTAAAATTAAACTACATAATATACATAAAATTTGTAAAAATGTACATAATATACATGAAAAAATTTGAAAAAAGAGAGGCTTAAAGCTGCTGCAAAGGCTTGGCTCTTTCAAGGCACCTTAAACCACTAGGCTACAACACTTTGTTGTGTTAAGCCTGTCCATAATACGTTATTTGCCACTTTGTATATTATTTTACTTGTATATACGATATAATTTTCTGACGAAGGGTGTCCAAAACTATATAGCTACACCCCTGAGTGTTGGTATCTCATAAAATTAATCAAGATGCACGAAAGTTAGCTGGAACACCAGAATCTATCATAAGGGAGACATATTTATAATTATAGATGAATTTACCTGTGAAAGACCTACTATATTGTAACCTTGTTGAAGTTCCTTCATTCCCTTCACCTGTAATTCAATTCACATTCAAATTTCTCCATATATTTCTCTTTTTCATTTATTTGTTTATTTATTACTCTCTCTGTCCAACAATAATTGTCCACTATTGATTTGACACACCTCTTAAGAAACAATAAATAATAGGGGTAATAGTCACAAAATATAAATTATCTCTTAATTTTCTAAATTAGACAAGTATTGTTGGACAACTATTTTTAGCATAGTGGACAATTATTATTAAACGGGGAGAGTATTATTTTATTAACTAAAAGAAGATAAAAGAATAATCTAGTGGAGGCTCAATACCTTTTCACAAGCAATTTGAACCTACAAGTACAGCATGGGCAAAAAAGAAAGGCACAGATTACAATTCACAAGAATTTTAATATGCAATTAATAATCCAATCAAAATAATGAGAATCACTACATTTTATCAATTGTTACCTGATTTTCTAGAGGCATATAGTAGGAACTATACACTCCATCTCCAATTTCTCTGCCAAAAAAGAAAAAAAAATCCAAACATTCATAAATGATACTAGTAAAAACAATAGTAATATACGAAAATATATAAAGTAATTATCATATATGTCAAAAAATAATTGTAATTATGAGAATTTAAGTTATGTATATCGACAATGACAATTATAATGAATTTGGAGGTGTACCGAAAATATGGATTTTACACTATTGTTTCATGCATGAGAAGAGGACCACTTTGGAATGAAAAAAATAAGTATTTGAAGTTAAAATTGGAAATAATAATAATAATACCAATAATACATTTAGTGTAATTGTCCTATTTCTATATCTATGAGGTAGAGATGTTATTTTTGATACACACTAAATTCAAAAAAAAAGTTTTCAAAATAGGATTACAAAATAAACATAACAACAAAAATAACAAAATACAAAACAACGAATATTAATACACTTTGAAAAATGAGAGACTACACGATTATAAAATAATATGCTACTAATAAGGAATTTTTTTTGAAAAACGTACAAGCAGTAACCATTGGATTTTGACAAGAGACTGAGTTGTGACGTGTAAAATGTACTTCCTGCATCGTTGCAAGACTCTCCTAGTCCTGCCATAAAAAAAAAAAATCGTTTTTCAACGATAATAACAAATTCAGTATTTTTTATAAAGTGTGATTTCGGAAGAATATAGTATACAAACCTTATTTTAATCTCAAAGGTAGATAAATTATTTCTGATAAACACTCAACCCAAGGAAAAATAATCTAAAGAAGTAATATAAACATACGAAATAACATAATAACAAAACAACAGATAGTAACAAGATAGTAACTACAACAACAAAACAAAATGATAATCGACGTAAGAAAAACAACATGTAGTTACAAAAATGACAATATATATACATATAAATAAATAAAAAAATTTACCATGCAATACTATGAAAGGAATAGAAGAAGAAAAACATATGGAACAGAAGATTGAAATGATAAAGATGAAATTTTCTGAGCATAAATAAGCCATTTGAAATTTTATTTAAAGCTTTTAATGGAGAAAATGTGCTGCGAAAGTTTTTGGTTCTTTTAAGCTGGATATATATAGTACTAGTTCTGAAGCAATCAGTGTATAAATAAAATATTTGAAATTTACTTTATTTGTTTTTATAATTATTTCAAAATTTTTTTTTGGAAGAGTTTGATTTGGCAATTTTTTATTTTTCATTAATCTACTTGATTTTTACCTTGTATATTGTAATCATGTCTAATTATTAAGGATAGTTTTTTTGTTATCACGTTTATATTTTTTTCCTTTTTTTGACAAATCAAGATAAAGAAAAAGAGGAAAAAAATGGTTAATGTCATATATGTGCATTTTTTTTAGAGAGGTCCATCGAAAACAGTTTCTCTATCTTCATAAGATAGAAGTAAGATTATGTACACATCACCCTCTTCAGACCCACTTATAAGATTATACTGAATATATTGTTATCATTAAAAACATATCCTTTTTCGATATTAGTATAATTATTAAACTAGGTTGTGTGATCTGTTGATGCATGTCAATATGGCATGAACATAGAAATAATTATATTTATTTTCATTCAAATATTGATGTTCGCTTTGGGTCCGGCTCCCCTTCATTACCCGTTCCTTCCATTTCGTTAAGTGCACGTCTAGATTAGAGACATGTGTCATATTTAAAGTTTAAAGGTCAAGATTATATTATATTAACAAATATCATAACTATAGTTAAGTCAACTAATTTTAGAAAACTACTCTCCAAATTTGGTAAGAATTACAATATAATCCATACAAATTTGATATTTATTAATATCATTAATTTCATCTTATATTTTTCATTTACATTTAAATATTAAAATTGTAGAACATGAAACGTTTATATTTAATGTAATATATAATAATCTTCAAAAACATTTGCATTTAAAACAATGTTATCTTCTATTTCACAAAAAAAAAAAGATTAAAGAATATTTATTTTTAAAAAAACATACTATATTTTTTCCCCTACAAACACAATACCACATTTTCTCCTTCGAATAATTTTGATATTTACGCTTAATTTTAAAAACCTTTCATCTTGTTATTTTTTTTTTATTTCGTGTCTTTTATTTTATGGCTTTTTTCCACACTGATATTCTTAACTTTTTTGTTTTGTTTCTCAATATAGTATATATAATATTTCAAGAGCAAAGTTAATTAGTACATAAATTGTTTAGTTGATTCTCACCTTAAATATCATACAATTTAATAATTTAAATACAAAAACATAATATGAAATTAATGATATTAATAAATGTCAAATTTTGTGTAGAATATATTGTAATTTTTATCAAATTTGGAGAGTAGTTTTCTAAAATTAGTTGACTTAACTATGATTATGATATTTGTTAATATAATATAATCTTGACCTTTAAACTTTAAATATGACACATGTCTCTAATCTAGACGTGCACTTGACAAAATGGAGGGAAGGGGTAATGGAGGGGAGCCGGATCCGTTTGCTTTGTTTATTTTGAATATGGATATTTTACTTAGGTGCAAGATTATAATTCCAGCAAATTACCTTTTGGCCACTTTCTTTAAAAAAATTAAAAAATATCAGCCAATTCCACACAAGTAATTGGCAAATTAAAGAGCCAAATATTGTGTATGATTTTCTAGAGAAGTTGACGTTTATAATGTATATTTAATATAATTGGTTTCCTAAATCATGAGTCTAATTCTTAATAAAAGTAATGATCTTAAATCCTAAAGGCGACATGTATTTTCCAGATTGAGTTTAGTTACTGATTATTGATATTTTGATCATGAACAAGATTTATGCGTTTAATTAAATTGATATGTAAACATTGTTTTCTAATTGATTAAAAGATTGTTATTTAGGCAATCTCCTTGATTTGTTCAATTTTTCACAACTAATATCACAAGAAAAATAAGAAAGATCAATGTTTTGACTCTCGATTCTAATATTAAAAACGATAGGTTATACTTAAATAGTATTTAGTACTCCTTCGTCCCAATTTATATGACTCACTAGCTCGTACCTTTGATATCCATAAGTACCAGTAGAGGACCAAGAAACTACTCGACCATGTACATTTGTAATAGGACAATGATATTATTAAAACTTGCTTGGTATTCTACATGCACCCTTACATGAACCAATACGTTCGGACTAAGTGAACTTAAGTTCTATGCATTTAACATCGTAAAATAAATTTGACACAAAAATATAGAAAGGCAGCAGAATTGCTAACAATGCTATCTTATATTAGTACATCTTTTTGCAGGAGTTGAATATTTTGGCACATACATTTACATACAGAGTCAACAAGACAACATAAAGCTTACAATCAAAGCCATGATATATTTCAATGAAGTTGTATATCGTGGTCATCAACTATCAAACAACCAAATCAAGTGTCAATAGACTGCTGATCTATGGTCAAGCCAACTAGTTCCGCGAAGAAGGTATTGACAGGTGCAGGCCATTTATAAGATGACGAACCTTCAAAAGTAAAAATACTTGATGCATCGTCTTGCAAATCATGTAATGCCATGCGTTCCACGTTTGAAAAGCTCCCGTCTGTTGATGCATTCGCTGCTAAGTAAGGAACAACATGCTTTTTCATATCACTGGAAGAAATTTGGAGATGATTCCCGGCTACTTTGACATATTTCACCTTCCCAGCATCGTCCAAGGTTTTCAAACCGATCCAATCCTCAGTATACAGCTGAGTCTGCCAAGCAAATGGAAAAATCTCACTTGGTTGAGAGCTTGAAGCACAAATGTACAGGAAAACAAAGTATCTTTTCAAATATTGTCAAGCATAGTTTTCGCGAACCTGAAATGCGACTAACTACTAGGATCATGTGGTACAGGGTAAAATGTAAGGATAGAACTACGGGAAAAAGAATGGGGTGCAGGACAGATGTAAAACTTGGTTACAGTTGATTAGCAAGAAACACGAGAGCAGACTCCACCAGGAAGTTGGACCAATTATTTCCATTAATCATTAAACATAAAGAAAACAGGATGTCTAATATTACAGAATAGAAACTCTAGACGTAACTCCTTGAATTGACGCTAGACCTGACGACATGATTGAAATATAAAGGCCTAGTTCTAGATCAAAATCAATGAATTGATTCTAGTTTGATACATGTTGAATTGAAACAGTGAGGTTTTTGTACGTCTAATAGAGTCTACTTGAATAAGTTAATGTTCTCTCTGGTAGCTTCTCATTTATGTGAAGTGGTTTACTTAAAATAGGCAAATGCAAGACATAAATGGAAGAAAGACTTGATTAAACAATATAGAGGAGTAGAAAGGTCATGAAATTTTTTATCTTTGAATTGTTAATATATTGACCTCGAGCTTTCCATATTTGTTCTGGAATCACAATAAAACAGATTTTAAGCATCAATGAAGCTGAATCTCAAAGTCAAAGCCATGCAAAGTATATTCAGGTTGAGCCAAGATTAACTAGATCTTAAAGCTTGGCCTGATTCACGTCTACCTAATTGCACAGAATCCAATCCTATGAAACTCTTTGCTAAACACCTTGATGGCAATTGTAGAAACACTTCAACGCCCTCGCCCCTCTGGTTTTGACATAATTATAAGTAGAAAAAAAAAGGTAGCAAACACGACCTCTACATAGTAAGTTTCCTTCTACCTATGTAGTCTATCCAGAAACACAAGACACACTTATCCAATTCTCAATGGTCACAGAATACGATCCTACAAACTAGAACAAGTAATCAATGGCAGATTATGGTATTTGCAGTATCCTCGGTACTATTGCACGATAGCGGAGGTAAAGAATATGAGAGGAGAGTGGGAGAGGGAGAGTGAACAAAGAAATTGATCACAGGTGAAAAAGTGTTTTTGGATTGGATAAGAGGGAGATCTAATCCCCTTTCAATGATAAGTGATACAGGGATGGTTACTCATATGACTAATTGCAGGTTGGAGGTAGGAATTGTCAGAAAAGATACGACCAAGTAAGGTGATAGTGTTTATGTTAAAGACTTGGGAGAATGGTGAGAAGCAAGGAGGTGGCGGTGTAATCCAGAAGTAGATATGTTGCCATCATTGGAACATTTAAGAAATCCATACATTTGGTTGCCATATTAACATTATTATCTGAAGCATGTCAAACCACAGCGAAAACAGTACTGGTGAAGAGCATTGACATCTCATTTGAACTTGTAGAGGAAGGAACAGGAAATATAGTATGAAAATAGTGCATTTGTCAAGGAAATGTTATATATACAGATACACAATGCACGTATTTGGTTCTTCTTGGATATCATACATACGGAAAAAAAAAAATATTGAGAGGGTGTCTTGTTTGCTGAAATGGCAGTAAAAAGTAATATAATTGAACATTTCTCTTAACCAGATTTCACATCATACCTTCTGTGCTGGCAAAATAGGTTCAAAGGCCCCATCTGGATAGTATCCAAACCAAGAAGTCTCCTTTGGTATCAAAACAGTATCATGTTCAAACTGTGAATAAGCAAGCAAAAGAACATAGGAAAGAAGAGTGTGATGTTACCATAGCTGCTGCAAATTGTGGTCATTTGACACAAACTAAAAGAAAAATAGAATGCAATGGCAGGACTGACAAACCATGATAAGGACAAGATTCTCCAAGCTGCTGAACCGTTTCTTATATATGGAATTTCTATGACTGGGGATTTCATTGTTAAACTTTGGGAGAAACCGGCAGCTTTTCATGTACCCAGGAATATTCTGTGAAGAGAGAAATACAAGTTAAGCTTCCAAACCAGAAAGATTGGTAAATAAATTTGCACCTACCTATGCCTCCAGGAGAAAAAAAAGTTATACGAAGTTTCAACTTCCAAAAGAAGGAAAAGTAGATTAATTTACTTTTGACACCCTAGTTTTAAACACACAGAACTTGACATTTTTGTGGCACTCACAGCAGCAGTGCCATCACCTTCTTTTAGCATATCTTTCTACATCCAACTGCACTATTCTTTGATTTCACTTCAGAAGAACAAATACATCTTAAATGAAATGGAAATCACAAAATAAAACAAACAAGAATTAGTTAATGAATGGTTCTAATATTCTTTTCCCTTGTCTTTGCTTCATCCACAACCTACCTAAAGTCCCAAAATTCAGCAGCCACCAGCTGCCTCACCCTCCTTGAATTACCTTGACTCCCATATTACCAACCCCTGTTTACTGAAAAAGACGATACCAGCACATGTGCATACAGATAGTCAAAAGCACCTATTCACACCTAAGTTGCTTGGACTCTCCAAAAATGTTGCCGCGTCCGTGTCGGATCCTTCAAAAATACACTGTTTTTGGAGGATCCGACACGCACCCGTCGACATTTTAGAAGAGTCCGAGCAACATAGATTCACACAGTAGTCCTCCCCACTCCATCTGTCTCTATCACTGTGTCTTAATCACACACAGAGATCACAACCAAGAACATAGAAAATGCAGAGGAATCGTATTAACCATTTTCTACTGATAAAAGCACACACGAAGATTCTACCTTCCCTATTAATCCCATTCACACCTATCCCCTATCCATTCAAACCACAACCGATGCAGTTAACACCTCTCTATCCTTAGATGAACTTACATGCAACCACTTCTTTCTCTTCAAACAATAAGTGGTATAAAATAGAGAAACAGAGAACAAGACATCTAGAACAGATAGGATGAGCGTTATGAATTTTGAAGTAGTGAGCTTTGTCCCTTATCAAAGTTGAATATGATTTTACACAGTCCACTCCCATTGAAATGCAGAGAAGAAGCAAACTTGTGAAATTGATTTTACTGTCCACTCCCACAAAATGCAGAGAAGAAGCTAGTGTGAAGCCACTAAAAATTGTAAGGATTATTTGCTCAGCACCTTATGACATTAAGGGGTCGTTTGGTAGGCCGCATTAGAAGAAATAGTCCATGTATTATGTAAGGTATTATTTAGTATTATGTTTGGTAGGAATTTGAGCCTATGTATAACTAATCTATGGATTAGTTATACTTCCTACATGGTATTATAGGATGTATTACTAATACCTTCCAATTGGAGGTATTAGTAATACATAGAATATAATACCATAGGATAAGTCTATGTAAAGACAAAAATATCCCTCAAATCATTTTAATTTTGTTTATTTTCTTGATTTTATGATTTATATTTGTACTAGTAAATTTAATTAAATAAATTAGCTTACAAATTATTTAGAGAGTTGTTTGTTACTATAAATAAATCCAATACAAATCAATACAAATGTGAAATGTGAGTTGTTTATTTGTATATGACGTTTGTGATCTTAATTGAATGTGTGTGTATATATATATATATATATTTGTGTGGTTTTCTAATTATTTATATTTTGAACAATTTTAAAAAATACATACATATTAAAATTACAACTTGCAATTTTTATGTGTAAATGTAGATGATTTATTCAATTTTACCATTGTTGACCGTCTTTTCGATTTTAAAAGTAGATGATTTTTTTTTTTAAAATGACATTTTGTGAGTGATCAATTTATTAAGATGGCAATTATTTATCCTCAAATAATTCAAGTGAAAATATAGCAAACATGACAACAAAATTGTTCTTCTCATAGCTAATTAGAAAGGCCATAAAATAATAATATAGTCCAATAATTATCTACCTTGACCCAATTACCTAATAATTCAAGGGTATAATTGGAAAGAAGCTTTTTATAGAGTTTTAATCCAAACACAAGATGAGGTGGAAAACAATGAACCAAACACTTGATAAAAATAAACTTTGCATTACTAATCCCTGCACTACTAATTCCTGCATTACTAATCCATGCGTTATTAATTTTTGTACTAAACGACCCCTAAGTAATGGGGAATACAGTAATAATGCCACTTACATTTGGAAGCTTGAGATAACCACTAGGAGCCAAGTGAGCCTGCAATTTAAATATTTATCATTCCAAGGAAGCATGTCAAACATCCCTTGGTAAATAAAACAAAATCAGAACCTCGTAATACCTGGACAAAATCGGAGTATATCTCTGACTTGATTAGATTATCAGCAATTATGCAAAAAATGCCAGACTGCAAAATGAATAATGAGATCAACAACAATGCAAAAACACATCAAGGGGAATTTACATGATTTGGTGGTCAACCTTGTCACCCCCTGCTAAAGCATACTTTGGTCGTATTTCCCCTCAATAATCATCATCAAGAAGCTAGAACACTGCCTAGGATGCTTCTATTGACTTTTCCCAAAGTAAGAAGGAAGAGGACCTCATGAAAGAATAGTGCTAGCTCACAGAGCAATGCCAGCAACAGTAAGAAGATACCCAAAAAAAAGCCTTACATAATTGTCTTATCCAGCACCCAAAAACTACCAAATAAACTTGTCTTATTGAAGGATAAATAGCAAATGATGGTACAAAATATACAAACACTTACACCACAGAGAGGAACTGAAGCAGTGCCAGCATGAGGTCCTCCTAAGGAAATCAAATTCTTAACCTGTCATGGCAAATATTTATTATTGAAGTTTCTCAAGTACACCAAACATAAGGATTAGACAGAAGACAACAGTAACATGTGGAATCAATAATATACCACGTGAACACTAATAAATTCAACGTTTCTCTCCTGTATTTGTCCTATTTCCTTCTTTGGAAAACCTAAATCCAAAACTTCCCACTCAACATAAATTCCAGAGAGAATGCAGATTAAAAGGTTGGAAAGCTACACATTTGACCCCGTCAGCCCTTTAGGGGGTCAATAAAATATATCAATTCGTTCCACCAACTATGATAAACAGGTAGATGAAGACTCCTAGTGTTCCTCGGCGTGTTTTTTATTTTTTCTTCATTTTCCATATGCATATCCCATCATACGAGTAGGGAATCTTTACTTCACTAACAATTAGAGGTTGTGTTATAGACTAAATAGGAGAGCCCAACCCAAAATAGTGACGTAATTAGGTGGTAGCCCATTTAACCAATAAACCCATTAGTATTTATCTTTTTAATCAATGAGGTATAATTGGCACACTACAGGTTGAAGGGATGACTGGCTAATGGCATATTAAGTACCGAAAGAAAGACCGGATCAAATTTCTAACTCTGAGCAATGTATGTACTGGACTTTCTCCAAACACAAAAATAAATTCATCAGACAACAAATTAAGAATTATTTCCAGAAGTGATGGTTGGCAGCAAATTCAGAAGAATGACTTCTAGTGATGGTGGAGAGCATTGAAGCGCTACATGGCCTGTTGTTTTAGAGAAGGAGGACATGTGAAGAGATATTGTTCTGAATGTGTTGATAATCTACCAAAAAACCTTGCTAGGATTGAGAAATAAAAGGGGAACTGGAAAACTAAGATTCTGTGGAGCATTGAGCCTAAGATTCTTTGTTTTTTCCAAAAAATAATTTTTATGACAATGGTGTTTGAGCCAGCTTTTGAGCACCTCGACAATTCCACTGGATACCTGCTACTTGTCGCACAAGTTTTCAAAGAACATTATTACATTTGACAAGTGAGCCCAAAGGGTCTTGGTTCCCACAGTTCCTTAGTTTCAATATTCCACTGACCTATTATAAGTAATGAACTTACTGCCAAGAGATAATTCCATGGTTCATAGGCTGATTTAAACTAATACAGTGGCTAACATATATCACAAAGAGATACACATCCACATATGTGGTAAGAGCTGGGTTGAAATGACTAGAATAAGAAAGATCTGACTTTGACTTCAAGAAGCAAATAAAATCAGAAGTCATCTTTATCAGATGCATATCAATTAGAGTTGCATGCAAAACGGTGGAATCCTGCTTAAGATTTTTTTCCCTACCTGTGGTCCTCCCTCACAATATTCCACAACAGCTCGGCCTATTAGGTTACCCTGTAACATAAGCAGATGAGTAGTGAATATGCTGTCCATGCAACCATAAACCAATTGAATCCAAAATATTACATCACATATTAGCATTTACGTTCCAAGTGAATGATATTGTTATGATACCATGTGTCTTGCATGATTCAAAAGCTATTAGTTTCAAATATTTGCTATGAGCTAGGTCAGTTTGGTCACTTGCAGTCTTAGTTCAAGAATCAGATTGGTCACCTACAGATTATATGGATTAAATGAATCCAAGTGGGATTACTTAAGGATGATTTTGATTATTCTCTCTTAAAATATTTAGTTCAAATATAGTTCTCAAATATTTATTTGCTTGGGACCTGGCCCCCTTAATTTATTTTAATTGAAGCTAAGAAGTGTAAAAATATAGAGCTAATAACCCTCTGATTGACATACAAATATGGTACCAAGTGATGGAAAGATGCACCAATAAAAGTAGTGCACAAATTTACAAGATCTAGTTTCTTTAAATAACCTGAGAGAGACCAACAATGTTGTAACCATCTTGGAGTTCTTTCATTTTCTTAACCTGAACCCGGAAGTTTGTTTTCGTCAGCGAATAAAACGAATACGAGAGATTAGCCACAACAAAACAATTAATTGACAGAGCTCCATCACCTTGCTACACACTACATCAGCCTGCACATGAAAAAGAACAGATCAGAACTAGGTTCTGAAAACTTTTTTGCCCAAGACAACTACTAGCATTTAGATTTTAATGAGAGTCATTACCTGATCCTCTAAAGTCACAAACCAGGAGTCCCATGATCCATTTCCAATTTCCCTAGAGAGGAGAGTTCAAAGATAGCACAAGTACAAAGCAAGATAAGTTACATAACCACGCCAAAAAAATTAAGCAGAGGTATGTGGATATAAAACAAATAGGTAATTTTGTAGGACATGGTCCATAAAACAGAATCATATCAACTTAGACTGTGTATGGAAATAGAATGGATTCAGCAAGTACAATTCAAAATGTAAAATCCTGAACCCGGGCAATACTAATCGGTTTAAATCTCTTTTGATGAATAACAAGCCATGGTGACATAATACCTTCGTATCAAACCTATCTCAACTTTGGCTTAACGGGCAAACAAAACAAATTTTACTAATAATCTTGAAAACAAATACAAAATAACTAGAGACATCCTAAGTCTTTTTATTTCTTTCATTTTACTTTTTCTTTTGGCAGGCGGAGTGGGCGGGGAAGGGCTAGGGATGCCTTTGAGGAAACTTCCTATCCACTTTGCTGATTATCATGTAGCTTTAATCAGGCATCAATCTTTTCCAATAAGTGAAAATAAAGTGATCAACTGAACACAATTTAAAAGAACAACCACAATCCAGAACTGATTTAAACTCTGATAGGAAGCATAAACTCCTCTGTTTCATAATAATAATGGCTAGCTAAAACTGATGACTGCTAGTATATTACAAGCTATCTCATGACACAACTAATGATAAATAGAGTGAGCATTAATCAATTATCATAGGTAACTTTTTATCAGTTGTTTCCTTATGCGAGTCTCTTATTGAAAAGCTTATTCAAATAACAACAACATAGCCAGTGTAATCCCACAAGTGGGGTCTCAAGAGGGTGGTGTGCATGCAGCCTTACCCCTAACTTATGAAGGTAGAGAGCTTGTTTTAGATAGACCTTCGGCTCAGATAAAGCATATCAACATCAAGTATTGAAAGGAAAGCTTATTCAACTAATCAGAAGAATAATCATTATCAATTGCATTTTATAAGTTGTTTCCTTAAGCAAGTCGCTTATCGAAAAGCTTATTCAAATAATTAGATGAATAATCATTATCAAAATGCTTAAGCTGTATCAAACAAACACTAACACAACTAACTAAAGTCATACCACCAGTCACATTACTTCAAGTTATATGCAAACGAACTACTCTCTCCATCCCAAGTTAAACAAAAAACTCTTCCCATATGGGACATCCAGAAATATTTGACACTATACCACAAACAATTATTATTCTATACAAACTTCACAACTTTTGAGGCGAGTATCTACCAGAAACAACCTCTCTACCCTACAAAGGTAAGGGTAAGGCCTACGTACATCCTACCCTCCTTAGACTCCACTTGTAAGATTACATAGGCTATGCTATTGTTGTTATTGTACAAGCTTCACAACTCTAAACTATTAAAATATTAATTTTGATTATTTTCCCCAACTATAACATACGAATACAGTGTTAGCAGAAATGTTCTACACGCCAAATAAGATTATCTCAAATAGCTAAATTAAGTACAGCCACTAAACCAATTTTTAAGAAAGGAATAATTACAAGCAATATCCTTCAGATTTTGACCATTCTCTTAGCTCCTCTGTGAATCGTTTGACTCCACGATGCGAACACTGATCTCCAATTCCTATTAATCCAAAAAAAAAAGTCATTTTTTAATTAAACAACATTAACAGTAAAAAAAAAACATAAACCAATACCATGGAGAACTATGAAAGGGACTGATGATGATATTGGAACCCCAATAAGAATCAAGATGAAGAAGACTAGTGATGAAGATGAAAATCCACGATGACCCATCAAAATATTTTCTTGAAAAGCACTGTTTTTTTGGGTCAAAATGTTTTCTTGATTTTGTTTTTTCAGAGTCCCTTTTCTCTCCAAGAACTTTTGCTGGAAAACTGGTAATAAAAATTGGTAGTGTCGTATATGAACTGATGAAGAAACAAAATAATCAACTGTAGAGTGGTGGACTTTTTAGATTTTTAATAAAAAAAAATGTGTTTAATTTATTTTTTTCGAAATTATCATTTATATTCTAATTAGAAAAATTAAAATGAGGCATAATTATCTTCGCATGGAAGGAATAATTATCGATCTACCTATAATTGAATAGAAAAGTATTTAAATTATTGCGACTAATTTTTAATAAAAATAACTAAGTATTAAATATTTATTATCTGACGTTCTATTTTCTAATACAAATTGCGTTTACGTTAGAATATTTTGAGGGAGAATCGTGCAAGATTGCTAGGTATGGAACTACTTCAATGATGGTAGGTAGGAATGTAATGTACATGACCTTTTTTCCCCTTTTGTAAGTGAAGCAAACAAGCAAATGATAGAAAAATCGATTAAAATAGTCTATAAGTAATAAGTGTTGAAAATAAAATAATACATAAATAGTAATGCATTAGATAATTTGAAATTAGCAATAGTTGTGATTAGTTACACGCATTAACATTTAGGTGTGAAAATGTTATGAACGAAATTTTTATTAGTGTTTAATTCAAAATTAGATTTATTAGAATATTTTACTTTGTTGATTTTTGAATGTATGATTATTGTTTTTCCTCAAAAAGTGTTTGTCTAATTGAAAAAATAACAAATGTAAAATAAAAGTTGGTCTAATGTGATCTTATATGCGTTATGAAAAATGTTACAAATCAAACTGATACATCACCAAAGCAAGATTGAAAGATTAAAAAAATATTTAATTTAAACATTAACGTAAGATTAATTTTATTCATCACATATAATATAATTTCTCATCAATAATATATAACACTACTAGATGAAAAAAAAACATGTCTAATTTTAATTTACGTAGAACACTTAATATATAATACTAATGATGAAAATACAAATAAAAATAAAAATTAAGATACATAAATAATACTACTCCTTTAGTCCAATAAAATAGCACTCATATAATTATTAGACACTCAAACAATTATTACTCAATTATGATTTTATTCAAATTAGATTTTAAAAATCTTTAACTCTAAAATATTAATTTTGAAACTAAAGGGAAGCTTTGTGTTACAAATGAAAACTATTGGGGGGCAATATGTAATTATTTCGAAATAGACAGTGAGGGGAGAAAAGGAGAAAAAACCAAAGACAGACAGTAGGAGAAGGTTGTGGCAGCCATTTTCTTCCTTCAGTCAAGTAAGTAGAAAAACCCTAGTCTTTGTGGTTTCTTCTTTTCATTTGCTTAAATTTATTCCATTTTATTTGAGTATTTTCAAGAAATTTGTGTATTGCATCAAGTTTGTTTCAGTTGATTTCTTGCTTTTGAGTATTTTGGGTAATCATAGAAAATTATTTCTTGGGTTTGTTTTTGTATGCATAATTTGATTGCACATATGTTCATTCTTGATAAAAACTCTTTAATTGGTGTACAACGATTCAATTTTAGTGATGGTCTTGCTCAAAATTCAATTTTTAGTGATGTTCTTGCTACAAAGATTCAATTTCTAATGATGGTCTTGCTACAAAGATTTAATTTTTAATGATGCTCTTGCTAATTTATTCTCCTTATTGTAGAACTTTACGGAGGTTAGTGATCAATTAGGGCTTCGAGGGGCTTTGATGGATAGTCTCGTAGATGCACTAAGCAGTGCATATCAAGACTTTGTTGCAGCATCAGCTGTTGTACTTGAATCAAAGGAGAGTTCTAATGGTCAGAAAACAGCAGCGACTGATGCTGCATTAGAAAACTTTAAGCAAAAATGGGAATTGTTCAGGGTTGCGTGTGATCAGGCAGAGGAGTTTGTGGAGTCGGTTAAGCAAAGAATTGGCTCCGAGTGTCTCGTGGATGAGGCTACAGGCACTGTTTCGGGGAAGCCTGGGCAACCAGCTGCAAGTGGCCTTCAACCCATTAGTGCTGTTAGGTTGGAGCAGATGAGTAAAGCTGTAAGGTGGCTAGTGATAGAACTGCAACATGGTTCTGGAGCAAATAATGCTTCAGCGGTACATCCCAATCCTTCTGCTCCATTTGATGCCAGATTTTCTGAAGATGCAGCGCAATAGGTATACTGAAATCTTGCTGATACTTCCTGTCCTTGTCATTTTGGTTGACTATGTTAAATAATCTGGAAACAAATTTGTATTATTTAATGAACTATTAGTAATAGGCTTTGTATCCTAGACTTGATGATGAAGCAAATAAGTGAACGTTCCTTGGAACTGAAATTGATTCCTATGTAATAGCTGCTATTACATGTTATTCATAAGTGCTTATTTTTCGACGTTTCCCTCACAGTAACTATTTGCTTCAGCTGTTTCTATTTCATATTTCCTCGTGATTTTAACTTCTTTAAAAAAATTGGTTTGATTGATTCGTGCTTCATTGAGATTCTTTTTTCCTCCCTTTCAACAAGAAGATAAAAGACCTGTCAGGCTTTCTAAAATTTCATATATTGATGAAAGATGCTTCATATTGTATGTTTGTTTGGCAAAAGAACATAGTCGTCTTTTCCTATATATAAGGTAGTATGTGAGTCCTTATGTGGTTTCTAAAAAGAAAAAACCGTGAGTCCTTATGTGGATGTCTGATTGGAGATAGGACTTTTTGGGCTTTTAATTGTATTGATATTTGTTACTCTGAGCAAGTTTTGTCAATCTAAAACAGTTTCTCTTACTACCTGAATCCTTGCAACACTGTAATTGGACTTATTGTCTTATATTTGGAGATATGTTCATTGGCTGGTCTTTTATTAACTTCCAGGTTGATAGAAAAGTAGTAGAAGCTAACAAAACCGCTTTTTAGTAGCATCATATGTTCTCTTCCATCAGAACAAATTACTGTGAGTAACCACTAGTTTCTGCAACAATTGTGTACCCTCTTTACGTATTAAGCTAAGTTTGACCCAATATTTCTTACAGACGAATGGAAACTAGAAAAAAACAGGGTTTCTTTGTATTCTATGCTCATCGTTGTAAAACAAAGGACTACTGCTAATTGTGACTGTTTTCAGGTAACTATAAAGTCTGGTGATCAGCAGGGAGCCTCAGTAAGCTGTTAGAGTTGTATGTTTGATGTATGAAGTCATGTTGTAACGCTGTAGAAGAAATGCTTGGAAAATGATATTTCTCAACCACCTCTACCGCCTCCCTCCCTACCCACTTATGAGAAGATCTGGCTAGTTTATGTTTGTATTTTCAAGGCTCAGAGATTTACTTTTATCGCAGTATGAGCTACTATTGCACTGTTAGCGTTATATAGATCTCGAATCCATGTTCCCCTATGTGTAAGCATACCAACATATACAAACAGGCTGTATGTTTGTGTCTGCTATGTATATGTTCTCAAGTATTTAAGTTTATAATCTATTTTCTTTAGGAAATATATCTCTAATCTTGCAAAGTGGCTTTTTAGTTAATCGTGTTAACCCTGATGAACTCGGTCAGTAGGCTTTGGAGACCCAGCAGAGTATTATGACGCTTTGAGTGTAGCAGTATTAGTAAAGACGCTTTAGCTTACAACTACATCTTGATTGCTACACAAATGCTCACTATCCATTTAAGCTTATCTCAATCTAATATTTAGTTGTATTGTATAAGAATTTTGTAAACAGAAGTTCTCACTTGTCACTGCACTGGTTTAAACAAACACGACAGTGTCTTTTTCCAAGAAAATACTTAGCAGGTAAATTTACTCAGTTGTTTTAAACTGAGTTGCTAAAACAGCAGAGCTGATTGGAGGAACAACAGTGAAGATTGAGAACAAAGAAAGTAGGGCGGGTGGTTATTTTGGTTAATTATTCGTAGTTTTATACAATGTGACAAAATATTGACTTAATAGTTACATTATGTTAGTAATGAATGGCTCTTAAATCCAATTATGAAATGAAAATCTGCACTTGGAAACGTCTTCGTCCTATAAAGCAAACTATTACAAGTAAATGAGAGATCTATGACGTAAAAGTTTTGATGGTTATTGAGGATAGGCAGAAGGGAGGAAATAGATAAATCATCACACAGAGCTCGTCTAGATGACAAGCAGAGGCTACTCTATAAAGCTATATATATCAGAAAAAACAACGATATACAAATGCTCTTTTCATTGATTTTATGCACAGACCCAAGAAGAAATGAGTTTTGAGGCAACATACAATGCTTAAGAACATTTTCTAAGATAAATTCCATGCAAATATACACACTCAATCAAAGATTGAAAATAATTCTCAGATTTTGTTGCTTTCATCTGGATATACAGGGTGGTGAAGAGAGCATGTGCAATAACAATGGCACAACTAGGTGAATAGGTACCTATGAGCAATATATATTGAGTAGCAGCCTCGAACAAACTCTGTGTAACAACCAACCCTGCAAGCAATAGATCATGAATTCATGATGAGCAAACTATCGCTTTACAGGTGAAATCACTTTTTGCAAAATTAAGCTATTATGATCTAAGGAAGCAAAGCTCTTAATCATAAGATGCTCAATTGGTCCCAAGCTTCACATAAGGTTGCTAATTGGGTGGAGTCTTCCAACAGACAAAATGTGGACAAAAATCTATCACATGGTCAGCTGTCCTACTGTTCAGGGAGAAGATAAACCGCTCAGTAGTTGTACCTTCTTCTAACAGGACTCTGCTGGCAGAATTCTTGTCATTGTTCTTGCTTACATCTTCTTTCGCCAAAACTCGTTTTTTCCCATTGTCTTCAATTCATTCAGAGGCTTCAGTTCTTCAACCAGCTCTGACGTGAATCGGGGAGCATAAAGAGCCCAGGACGAACAATTGACATTTATCTTTAAGCTGTTAGGCCACTAATGATGCCAGTAGTTTCATCAACAGCGCCTATCCTCATAAGCTTTTCGACTTCAGATGCTTCAGCCATATTTACCAGAGAGGATTATACTGCCTTGGTTATGGATGAAATTGCATTGTCTATTCTGTTATCAACATTCTGTAATCCAGGATAATGTCTGGATCTGTGGAGTTCCTACATACATACATCATTCTGCTGGTTATTCAAGCATTGATCTAGAGAAGACTCAGCTGGAGCTACACAGAGGCTGTGGTTGCTCGTCCACCATTGTTGCACAGTCAGCTTTATTCCAGATCCATCTTAAAAACCATCTAAATTTGCAATGATGCATCTGTGGAAGGAATATTCTTCGTCGTATCCAGCTCCTCATCAATCATGACATCTCCGTTCTCAGCAAACACATTGGCTGATGTGATCCCATCAAGAGAAAACAATTGAGTCGCACAAGCGGAGATGGATACTGGGCTGGTTTGCATCTCAACAGAAGGATGTTCCACAGCAGAACCTATATCTGTGCAAGTGCCATTTTCAGTAGCTACCCGATCAATCTTGCCACCACTCAAATTGCCTGTGGCAGAACTTGGATGCTGGAGCTCAGTCAGATCATTTTCCACATTGACTAATGTGTGTGTTCTATTGCTTGCTCTCACCACACCAGGTGTGGCAGTAGTCAGCTGAAGAGCTTGTCGCTTCGACTGGCCACTTCCAGGACCAAGTTGAGCATTCAACTGCGTCTGCACCCAGACAGCTAGAGAAAGTGCATGATCACGAATCAAAGAATCATGAGGTGGGCAGTGTAACATATCGACCAGAGCCTGCATATATTGGAACATACTGAGGGATGGAGTAATAGACCCTTTGTCACGTAGACATTTAATGCTTTTAAGAATATGCTCACATAAGTTTCCCATTTTCGCCCAATTACAATCACAAAGTGCATATTCGGAAGCTGGATTCCGAACAACATGCACTTTATGTCGATCTTCCTGATCAACAACTTTTGAATAATCACCCTCAATTAACACATCCGAATCTGGAATCTGCAAAGATTTCTGCCAAGCTGTTAAGCCACTCATCCATTCATCCTTCCAGTATCGTGCGAAATCATCCTTCCCTGAGTACTCATCAAGCCAGAAATAAGAATGCACTGTAGTACCTAGCTTATCTACTAGCCAATCAGCACGTTGATATACACTTTTTTCCTTCTCATTCAATAACCTAAGCTTTAATTGGTTGTGATAGTACTCCATTGACGAGCACATCTCCTGGCTGGCAAGAGGAAGAGTTCTCAGTGCACTAGTCCAGAGCCCTGAGTAGACAAAATCCGTCAGCAAGAAAAGCCCCAAAGAGGAACCAGCTAATTTATAAGAGTTTTCAAGCATTCTTGAAGAATAATGTGTTTTTTCAAAACTAAAAGAATAAGGTTTCTAGTAGAAAAATACTAGGCTAGCATGTCCTTTTTAAGTGAGGACACTCACACGTGAAAGATTGCATGTATAGAGTTCCTCAATCTATAATAATTCAAATTAAATGCATAACAACTGTTAGCTATGTAGTATAAACTGAGAGATTGTTATGTAATTGAAAATATGACGGAGTTTTTGGACTTCAAGACACTCAACCATAACAACATACCCAATGTAATCCCAGGCACCTCATCTTTTTTGAAACAGAGCTAAACCGGGGGTCCAAAAACAGACTACCGTTTTCCACAGAGGTGTGTGAAACATCTTTTTTTATAAGGCATGTGAAATGTTGCACAATGTGGACAAAGGGAGTGTAAGTTTAAATTCATGCTAGGCCTGGATCTGAATCAGATTATCCATGTGTCAATTGAGTAAGCAAAAAACCTGTTTCAGAGGTGTACTTCAATCTAATTGCAATAACAAATCTATTGGTACCAACAGAGACTGTTTTACTGAATAGTAAAACTCACCTAGTCTTGGGTACCATATGGCCTTGAAATAGTCCGAAAAATCTGCAGCATCCACAAAATCTTCCATAAATTCTTCAAACAAATCAGCAGTTCCATCCCCTTTGCAGATGCGCTGCACTGCCTGGCCTAGCCTCTTTGCAATTACGGCACAGGTCTCCAGTTCCGAGCATTTCTTAATCAAGTTCTTATGCCATGCATGACGAACCCGCCAAAAGCATATCAATACAGAGCACTGGAACACTTCCCTGCAAGTTCCATCATTCAATTTAAAATTTGTTACTCTCTCCATCCCAATTTGTGTGATGTAATTTGATGATGCACGGAGTTAAGAAATATGGAAAGACTTTGCAAGGTTTCAAAACTAACCTTAAAATAAATGCATTTCTAAATAGAAAAGTACATCTTTGTGGACTTTTTGCCAAATAAGTGGGACTCAACATGGGTAAAATGTTGATAGTGTCATTATATATTTACCAAATAAGGAAATATGTCATTCTTTTAGGGACTGACCAAAAAGGAAAGTGGGTCATATAAATTGGAACAAAGGGAGTACTATTTAACCTTTGGTAAATGAACACAGCCTTTAGATGTAGAAGTTGGGATCAGATAAAATGCTGAGAGACTTTTCAAACTCACTACTGTCAATAAGAAACATTATGACTAATAGTGTATCAGAGGCTGGTTAATTCTATTCTTCATTAGTTCAAAATATTCAGACCGATCCAACAGAATGACATTGAAATTGCCAGCCTATTTTACATGCATTCATCTACTAATATCATCAATCCACAAGTCTAACATGATAAGTTTCTTGGACTCAATACTATTGAAGTAAAAGCCTCACCCTGAACCCAAAAGATAGATGCCACTGGTGCGACTCTAGTTTGCCATGCTAAAGAGAACCCCCACATCCATCAGGAAAAAGAAAAAAGGAAAATAACCATGGTCATTGCTTGATGTTGGATTACACTATCACTTGATAGTGCAAATGAATGTGGAACAAAAACATAGTAAGCAACCTGATTGCAAGGATGTCAGCTGAAGGATCATCCACAATGAATCCAGCCAACTTCCACTTAGGATCTTTCATATGAACTCTGTTATATAGGGCCCTCATCCATCTAAGTGTATCTCCACTTGCAAATCTAGGTGTTATTATCCATGCCACCGGTATAGCCTTGTTGTCTGAGTTGAACACAACAAGACTGCGAATAGGATACTGGAGAATTTTCATAAACAGAGAATGTAAGCTTTCAAGTATTCAGTTTATTCTAGTTCTAGAAATTTGGTAACCATATAAGCAAAAAATACCTTTAATTTATTAGTTCCAAACTTCGAATCAGAGGCCAGAAGGCCGTGATTTCCAAACCGAATCAGTTGTTGTAACTGCCATTCTGTTTGAATACCCAAAACAAAAGGGTCGGAATCAGAGAAATTCTCATAAAAGAACACTTGATTCTGGTGACTTTCAACCCACATATTAATGCTGACTGCATCATCTGTGTCAAGTTCATAAGTCGAGCGCCGTATGCTCCTCTCTTGTCTCCGAACATATCTGTGAGTTAAAAGGTCATCTCGGTTGCACGGACCTCCTTGTCTCTCCACTGATTCATTGTGTCTCTGCATGATTGTTTCCACAGACACCCCAACATA